AAAAGAAAAAAAAAAAAGAAGAAGAGAAGGAGAGAAGAAGAAGAAGAAAGCCCCGGCTGTCGCCGCCGCCGTCTTTAGTCTATAGGCTCGATCGATCTACTACAGACTACTACAGTGGAACGCCCCTGTCGCTCTCGGAACGCCCCTGTCGCTCTCATGCGTTCACATGCACATGCACATGTGCATGTGCGACCCTCCCACAAGTGGGAGTACGGCCATGAAAAGGGGACCGCACAATCGCTCCGACGCTCCTCTCGGCCACAGGAGTGACGGGCTCCTTCAACCATTGAATACGCCGTGTCGATGAGCTTCTAACTCGATCGCGTTCTCGAGATACAGCTTGAGATGTGCGAGTTGGAGTGGCCTCACGGAGTCGGCGCCGCCGCTCGGCGCTCTTCTGCTGGTTTGGCGATCCAGCGCTGCTCGTCCAGACAGAGGCTGCCTCCACTCCTGAGCTGCTCAGGCCTGGTCAAGGCCACCCACCGGCATGCTCTGGGAGCGCGGATGCACACCAGATCGTGCTGCCGAACCCACTGTGGCTGCCTTCGGCCACCGGCAGCGCCGGTGCGACGACATGCTGGCGGCGGTCTTCCGCAAACTACTGTCAGGCGAGTGCACGACGAGATGTGACCATGGGCGCTCGCATGTGTGCTCAGGGCACCTCAGGGCTGCTGCGTGACGCGTGGCTCGGCTCCGCGAGCGCTTGTGAATTTTCTGTGATTAGGTGCCCGGTAGGCTTGGCTGCAAAGGGGATTTTCGCGTTTTCTTGCATTTTTGCTCCCGGCTGAGGGAGCAAGCAAGCCCACTCAACCCCAAGTACTCACCGTTTTACAGTGGTGTTTTTTCCACATCGGCTGCAGCCTCTGCTGGGGCGGAACGCGCGGGGTTTTCGGCGCGATGCCCTCGGCGAGTACACGCTACTGCTCTGCCGCAAGCTCTCCTGCGCGCGCGTGACGTGTGGGATGCGTGCGCTGCGCTCAAACGTCGCGATTTGGCGATAGGCGCTCGAGCCGGCGCACAGCGGATAGGTGCGCCGCGCAGGGGGGGTCGGAGGTGTGAGAGAGGGGGCGTGGGTCGGGCGCGCACCGGCTGGCTCCGGGAGCGGCCGTCACGTCGAGGAGTGGGGCTGTCGGCG